AGTGCATCGCTAGTAGCAACAAGTGCCTTACTAGTAACAAGAAGCTATTAGAAACAATAAGCTACATGTCCTGGCAGAGCGCCATCTGATTCACATACACGTCGCGCCCAACGCTGGTGCGATCGTGAAGCGCGAACTTTCTGGGACACGTGTCGCCTGGACGTGTCGTTGGTGCAAAAAACGCGGACGTCTCGCGCCAAGCTTCTTTTTGGTATCTCCAAGAGGGGTTTGGTGCCATCGCTAGTAGGTTCATCTCTTTGGTATCATCTCTTTGTTGGCTCAAGCTTGCAGCTGTGCCACGAAGGCGTGTGTGAAAGGTGCTTGAAGGGAGCGTCGCTCTGCTCATAGCTGTCAGGGTAGGGCAAACATGCAACCCAGGGTTTTCGACAAGGCAAATTGATGGGAGGTGAGTACAGGTCAAGGTCCGATTTTGCTTGCAGTGATTCGGGGCCAAGGAATGCTAAGCGGATTCGGGGGTTTGGCTGTTCTGATAAATACCAAAATGGACTACCGGAGTGTTGCTTCACCTTTGGCGTCCACAATCTGGGCAGCGTCAACCAAAATTCTTTTTTTTCAAAAGGGACATCGTTTGGTCAGGGACATATTTCGTTTTCTTTGTCTGGTTTTCCTGCCCGCTTGCGGGCAGGACACCTGTTAGGGTTTGGTTATTCGCTGGGTTCTTGCGTTTACAAACTCCACACACCCTTCGAGGCTGGTCGATGAGCTTCCGGTCGGCCATGGTGACGGAGAGTTGACGTGTGCGATTTGTTTGGATCAGCTGGAGCCGCATGAGCAGGTGAAGCAGCTACCATGCCAGCATTGCTATCACAAAGAGTGCCTGTATAGATGGGGCACATCTCGTGTTTGCAGCGGCCGAGGTTCGGCCCCTGCAAAGCTCTCCTGTCCGCTTTGCAAGGAGGATTGCGCGATCCACGTTGCGCAGAACGGTTGAAGCAACCTTCTGGCTGCCATGTATCCCACTCTCCATCATGCTCTGGAGGACTTGATGGTGAAGTTGAGTTTTTTTTCCATCACACAGCTCCTGCTGCAGTTGAGACAATGTTTTCAATCACGCAACCAAACAGGTTTCCACGGGAGGTGAAAACTCAGACTCAGCCGATCTATGACTATAGCGACTAGTGCCAATGCTCGATGCGTTCTATTGTACAGAGAGCAGTGTGATTTGTGTGCATCCGCGATGATTTAGAATTCGGCTTTGGGTCAAGGACCCGAAGGACCCGAACACACGCACACGAATGTAACATGTCACACGAACCGACCCCGCAGTTTTATTGGGGGATCTTCTGGATGTTTCTTGACCATAGTTACTATGCCATAGTTCACTTGCGAGATGACTCGAAGCTGGAACGCTGCGTGTTGCAGCGCTTTTCGTTAGAGAACGATTTTCCATGGCCTCTTGGTCTGGACCCGACGGGCGCCAGAAAACACCAGAGCACCCAGAGGACAATTCGATCACATGCGCGCGCAGATTTACCCTCATTCCGAAGTATTGGTTTTCCAGAATGCCCCAGGCTTTTGGTTTTTGTGGTGTATTATTTTCCGGAATCATCATGGTTACGTGGATGAAACATGGCTGTGAGGACCATGAAATCCGAACACTTCCATGATTCGATGATTCCGAGTGAGTGTGCCACTTTCAAGAATAAGTGCCACGCTAGTAGTAACAGGTGCCACGCTAGTAGTAACAAGAAGCTAGTAGTAACAAGTGCCTTACTAGTAGTAACAAGAAGCTATTAATTGACCTCACGCGGTGCCCTGATGTACGGACCATGACCGGCCGACATCCTGCATCATGAGGCCTCACGGTATCCATTTCATCATCTTTCATCTGTATCCCTAGCGGTTCTGTTCTTTTGACTTCCCGGAACCGGGGCAAGGTATTACTCTTTTGTCCATGTCAGTTGCTCACCAGTGGTGCAGGATGTTTGCGGTTCCTTCCGCTTTCTTCCGAATGCTCCGGATGTCGTTGGGCGTGTGACGCGCAAGAGTTTGACGCACGGGTGGACATCATCATGGACACCATGAACTTCCTGAAAGTATGTTGCACAGCAATCGGTGTGGCATATGGATGATCTGTTTATGGTTGAAGGGATGGAATTGAGATGGAATCAGGGGACAATAATCTCTACAGGACTGTGAAACAAGAAGTTGGATGCGCAGCTAGTCATGGTCATGTCTTATAGGTACCCGTCTTCCTAGATTGCAGGACGTTTGAGTCAGGGCATTAAAAAACCTTCATGATCCATCCTTTAAGATTTTCAGCCACCATTTGTTTAATGGTGTTCACCGAAGCACCATTGCTATACGACGGGGGTTACACTTGCCAGCCAGATCAAGCATTTTGAACATGGTCGAACGGATTTTTCGGTTTTTCTACTTCCAAGTATTTTTCTTTGTGGGTTTTGACAAACATGTCCTGTGCGCATGTCACAACATCCCCTGTGCGCATCCCGGAGCGACATTTGAATTGGAGGAGCCAACAAATCAGGGTCGACAGACTGCGCACCCTGCCTGCCAAATCTGTGCCCCCCCATTGGCAGTGAAGAATTCGCGGCGGCAAGGACCCTTTGGACTGTTTGGACGGTCGTGGTGGATTTTTTTAGCATTTCCTTCTCAACTCCACTCAACTCTAAGGTGCTGGGCACCTGTTGCCAACGCCTCGAGGGTTGACTGACGGACGAACTGATCTCTTTTTTGACCTGGACAAAAATAGACATGATCCACAGTAGAGGGTTCACTCGTCAAGGTAGGGGTTAGTTATACCGTTGTACCTCCTCCTTCCTATCCTTCTGATCCGTTTCTGGAAACGGCAGAAACACACATCCGTATTGTTGCATCGTCGTTGACAAATCCCTTTAGACCAGGAACATCATCGGATTTGGGCAGCTGCATCAATTCCATACCACAAACCCTCACGACGTGTCACGTTCCAAAAAGCCCGGCGATGGCGATGGGACGATCGGGAGGGATAGATCTGAATCATGTTGCTATGCTGTTCCTGGGATCTCAAACCATATACCACGGTCGCCAGCGAACGTGTACCGACCAGTCGTTTCTGCACCAAAAGATACATCGATCAAGGTTATCACCAGGTTTATGGAGAGTGATGGAACACATGCGAACTCGTCCAGCCTTTTTCAGCCACACCGGACCGCTGGAAGAGGCTCTCTCTTTCGCCGCCACACCGGACCGCGTGTTTCACACCGCGCGCAGTCCACCGCTGCGGCCACCCGCCGGACTGCTTCGTTCGTTCTGCTTCGGACTTGCCTGCCGCCACGAGTAGCAAGAAGCTACTAAGCTACTAGTAACTGGTAGTTTCTTGTTACTGGTACTAATGGCCTCCAACCTACTAGCGATGGCCTCCAACCCAATAGCTTCTAGCTACTAGTAGTAGTAATTTCCTTGAGGGGAAGGTGCACCACTGGTCACCCCTACCAGGAGATGAAGCACCGCTGCATTCACGCGAAGATGCAGGCGGGGCGCCTGCTGTTTGGCCTTTGCCACGCCGAACGCCCGGAACCGAACGGAAGGCGAACGTGGGGTCGACGTCGCCCGCGTCAACCGGCCGTTGGGCGACGGCCGAACGGTGGAGCTTTCGTCGAAGGATGGGACCTGATCACCCGGTGCCGCCGATCCGTAGAGATTCTTGTTACTACTAGTAAGGCACTTGTTACTACTAGCGTGGCACCTGTTACTACTCGCTTCTTGTTACTACTAGCGTGGCACCTGTTACTACTAGCTTCTTGT